TGCCAGCCGCACAGCCCGCGCCAGCAGCGCCTAGTACCGAGGCCCGGTCGCACCCAGCTCGTGCCCAACGCCGTGCCATGGCCCCAGCCGGCCCGGCACGGGACCGAGCCCGGCCAGTCCGAGCAGCCCGTGACCGACCGGTCCATTGTAAACCGGTGGTCCAACCCGGTCCGGTCCACCCCGACCCGATTCAGCCAGTTAGCGAACCGGCCGGTTTAGCCGGCGGTTCGAGTCCGTTTTAGTTCGTGATTTTCGGTCCGAGTCTTATTCCGAAATCTAAGTATTTTTCCGAGCCAAACCAGATCAGTTAAGCATATCAGTATAAATGTCCGGACTTAGAATTATTTCCGGGAACCCGTAGAGCGTTCCTTTATATCCGGATGAGTAATCTGATAGAGTAGAGCATCTTAGCATATTTTTGAGCATATGACGAGCATAGTACTTAGTATATTTGTTTGCTTATATTTTTATGTAGCTTGAGGAGTCAGCTACCAGCACAGCCGCACTTACTCATTTTCAAAACCGATCAAGTGGGGACCCAGTCTGGGTTATACATTGAGTTTAATAGTCGATATCACGTTCAGGTATGTATATGAGTTTTATCCACTTTGGGTTAAGGCCAAGTTTGCCTTCCCTAAGTTCTGGTGGTGGCCCAGTTGCCCTAGTTATACCATCAGAGTGTGGACACGGTTACCGGCCAGAGTGTTCCGGGAGTTACCGGCTAGAGAGTTCCGGGAGTTTCAGTTTACTTATATATACTAGTTTGTGATATCATTATTAATATTGTTGTTTACCTTAGAATGAGTTTTTATGGAGTACAAGTGGACCGTACTCAGCCCCACTTTATATTTTCAGATGGCAGGGTCGGCGGGCAGGCGTGAGATGAGCTGTGGTGGTGGTGGTCGTGAGTTCCGCACGAAAGCTGTTCCCGGGACATTTGTTATCGTTTTGTATAACTAAATAATTCCACGCACTTTTAGACTTCCGCTTTGATGTGTTTATTTTCGATCATGCATGACTTTATTTCCAGACTTAAATAATTTTACCCGGTTCGCCAGTACGAATGGGTCCAAACTAATATGCATGATTCGTTAAAAATATGAACCTGATTTCTTTAAGTCTAAACCAGACGTTAGACCTAGGTTAAAGAAATGGGTTTTTAAGCAGAAAAGTCCTTAGCAGCATCCCGAGATAGTTTGCAAATGATTTCGAAAAATTTACAAGCAGTTTTTGAAAGAGTTTAAATTTGCGAAAATTTGGCCCTAGTTAGCGGGGTGTTGCAGTTGGTATCAGAGCACTTTTGTGCTTCTGAATGTTTTAAAAGACAGGGAATTTTTGCTAAACTCGAACACACCACACTCACGCCGCGCCGACTACCAGGTAAGTGCATGCTGTAAAAGTTTTTTTTCAAAGTTTATATAAGCAAACTATACTATGTCTATGCTCAATAGGATTCAGATAATCCGAACTCTAGATGCTCAGATCAGTATAAGACTCCTAGCAGTATCAGATATGTCCTCTATCAGATTCAGAACTCTAGATTCGAACTCTAGTCGAACTCTAGATTATCGAGTTATTTTCAGCTACTCGTCAAGAAATTTGTGCCTATTCCAATGTTCAGCGTTTCCTTTCAGCCCTATTCAATTTCATCTCCTGTTCTGACCAGTTACGCGGCTTATTCTCAGATGGCCCGTCGTCCGAACCAAGCTCAGAGAGAGATGACCTAGGCTGAGGTAGTCG